AAGAAGAAATAAATAAGATTGGTGATAAAAAGAGGGATGAGAGAGATTAAGATCTTGAACATATTTGGAAGAGATATTTGAAGTGATAATTTGTTGATGTAATATATTATTCGATGACGGTAATTAAATTCATAAGGTTTTAGGTTTAGTAGTAATAGAAATTTATGATAGAAATGAAATATATTAAATTTATTATGTTATTTGAGGGAAATAGAGAGATGTAAGCAAATGTATTAAGTTGAGTTGTTTTTGTGTGACTTTATTTTGGAATCTTTGTTTACTCAAACACCACGGTATGTTTTAAGTACTTTTTGTTAAAACTATAAAACCAATAATATATATATATATATATTTAAAAAAAATGAACTGGAGTTCTTCCAGCTCTCTAGGGCTCATCAAGGACAGTTTTGGTTTTGGCAACTTGGCATGAGGCTTGGCCGGATTGCTATAGCAGGGCTTTTCAACCGGTGGTACGCGTACTACCTGTATACTATTGCACGTGGCATGGAACCATCCTAGAGAAGTGTAGCGGGGGAGGGGAATGAGCTGAAGCAACCCAAGCCTGAGGGAGAGGCAGCTGGAGCTGCAGGACTGTTGGGGCTTGACAGAAGCCCCAGGAACACTGGCAGGCTCCAGCTGACTTGCACTTCTGAAAGCAGTGCAAAGCTGGAGGTGAACTGAAGAAAAGGGGAGGGGAGGAGAGGATATAAAAGGAGGTGGTTTTGGCAGGAAAGAGGAAAAAAAGACAACAGGGAAAGAGAAAAGGACAGAAAAGAAACTGTGGAAGGAGAGCTCAGCAGGCGGGGAGGAAAAAGAGACAGGGAAGCAGCAGCAGCTGTAGCTGGAAGGTCCCCTGGTTCATTTTCTCCAGCCAGGAGAATGCAATTAGCGCTGATGAAATGAAAAGCCGGCAGACGAGCATGTCAAAAAGGAGGTGGGATTATTTTGGAAGCCAGTGGGTTCCTGGTCAACTGGCAACTTGAATGGATTACCATAAGGATTTTTATACAGTTTTTACAGCATAATTCAGAGGCTCGGTTTGTGTGCTTTGGTTATTGGAATATTTTAGTCTGTTTCACAAAGGCTAGCAATGAGTTCAAAGTGTTGGCTTCATATATTTAATCCCTTTAAACAAATGTAATTAGTTTTACCCCCTTATCTTGAGTCTGTCTATGGCAGGGGTAGGCAACCCAAAACACTCAAAGAGCCACTTGGACCCATTTCTCACTGAAAACAAAACACTGGGAGCCGCAAAACCCTTTTGATATCTAAAATGAAGTTAACACTGCATATATCTTTTTTTACCTTTATTATAGGTATTTTATACATGTATGTATAAAAAAGGATATATGCAGTGTTATCTTCATTTTAGATGTCAAAAGAGTCACTGTCTCTCCCTCCCTCTCTCTTTCCTCTTTCTCTTTCCTCTCCCTCTCCCTCTCTTTCCTCTCTCCTCTCCCTCTCGTTCTCTTTCCTCTCACTCTTTCTCTTTCCTTTCCCTCTTTCCTCTCCCCTTTCTCCTTTCTCTCTCTCTTTATTCTTTCTCTTTCTTCTCTTTCTCTCTCTCTTTCCTCTCCCCTCTCTCTGTGTCGGAAATGCACTGAGAAATCTATTTGCAGATTGACAAAAAAGTAACAAGAACCTATTTATTGTATATAATGTTTTATTATAAATCGTGAAATCTGTACATCTGCTGTGGTTTTGTGATGTGCAAATTTCAGCATGGGTTTCATTGAGGTTTTCAGTTGCTTTTCTATTGTTTGGGGGAGTTTAAAAAATTGTTTTGAGTTTGTTTGGGACACACCCAAAGACCCAAGTTTATATTTAAAAAAAAACTAGGGGAAAAAATAGACAAGCTAATACACCCTTTCACTGAAGAAGGGGGAAGGGAGGGGGGAAAAGGAGTGAAATTTTCTGAGTTCTCATTGACTACCTGTAAGCCCAAATGAGTACAGTATTCCCTCCTCCGCATGTACCCCTTTATGCCAGTGCTGAGCTCAGGGTGTGTGCGTGCGTGTGTACGCATGCATGTGACTCTTTGCTCCCCCCCCCGCCCACCTTTTGTCCTGCTCTCTATTCCCTCCTTTTCCTGTTTTGGAAACTTCCGTACTCTAATCCTCTGGATTGGCACCATCCAAGGCGCTGCTGCTTACTTGATTCCTCTCCCTGGCCAAAAAAATCGTCTTCATCCAGCCCCCAAATCCCCCCCCATGATTTTTTTTCCCTTCTACTGCTCCCTCTCCCATACCCCAATAGGCCTTTTTGTGTATTTAGGAAAGAATTTTTAATAGACACTTTTTATATTAAAAGAAACCTATATATTGAGTGACGAGGCTGCCTCATGTGCTTCTGTTAGCTGTTTGGTTGGATGCTGCTTGGGGGATCTGGGGGGGACAAAGGGGGAGATGGTGGCAAAAGCTTCATGGGGGCGCTGCTGGCAGGGCAAGTGAGGCGGCTGTGAGGCTCGCTTTTAGCACGGGAATCTAACCCAGCTTCCTGGTGCTGACATCCAGGAGGCCGACGCGGCTAAATTCGTGCTGCGGCAGAAAATTAGCCAAGCACCGCAGGTGTGAACGCAGCCATGGCGGCAGCCTTTGCACGTGGGGCAGCTGAACGCGGGGCCGAGATTTGGGCTGCTTGCAAGGCAGTGCCCCTGAAAAGCAGAGCCTCTCTTTCCCCACGTCGACGCTCCTGCTCCAAAGCCTCTGACCCCTCCATTCTAGCAAACTGCTGCCTGCTTTCATTTTTTCTCCTCCTTTCCCTCGGTCCCAACTCAGTTTGGCAGGATGGATGAGATTTCTCCTGGCCCGCATTTCAAAGGCGTGATTAGACACACAATGACGCCCACAATAATTGGGCCATGAGGTGCAACTTCCCCAGGAGGCAGAAAGAATTTGGGCAAGCGGCGTTTTGTAGATCAGGCTGGGGCTAAGTCGGGCCCTCATGGGGCGCAATTAGGGGCGGCTCCACGGAGTCCCAGCCACCTGACTCATGGAGCAAGCCGGTAGGGAGCCCACAATTAGCGGGCCCACCAGGAGGCGGTTGAGGTGGACACCCCCCCCTGCGGCAGTCAAGCGGCCCGTGACCTTCCCACCAAGCCCGACGGATTCCTGGCCACCAGGCCATAGAGCAGTAGCGGCTCCCTCGCCGGTGCTGCTTGGCCTCCCCAGCCGGCTGGCCGGTCCAGCCTTTCCAGGGCCAAATCCTGCAGGTTGCGATTCGCACGGCCCTGGTCCAGAGGAGCGTCCTCGCCCTAGTGGATGGGGGGCTAGGAGAGGAAGCCCCTTCCGATGCCCAGAAACCAGCGCTTCCTCTCCTGCTCTAGGCGTGGGAAAATGGGAAGTCCTGGAAAGGCTAAGCGTGGCGGGGCCGGAGGCAGCAGAAGGTGCCCCGGGCACCATGGACCGGCCCAGGGAGACACGTGACCGGCTCGGCTGCCCAGGCAGGGAACGGCCCAGGGACTGCCTAGGAAGCGATGCCCCCATCGGCCGCTGGCCCAGCCCGAACTGTTGCCCGGCCCAGGGAGACACGTGGCTGGCTTGGCTGCCCAGGGAGCGGCCCAGGGATGGCCCAGGAAGCAATGCCCTAGCCAGGACTGCTGCCTGTTATAGGTAAGCTGGGGGGTGCGCCATCTGCCCCGCGGCCGCTTCATGGAGGCGTTCCCTAGACTTGGAGCCCCCTCCCTTCCCCCTGTATCTCCAGCTCTGCTGCTGCTTGGCCAACGGTTGCACCAGCTGGATGTCGCAGGGGCTGCTCTCCCTCAGGGCTGCGGCTTGTGGGAGGGCTGGCCTGCTCAGCGAAGGCTCCAGCGGGCTGCTCCCAGCAGGAATCCCGGGACTTCCCCGCGTGGCTGCCCAGCCACGTGCGCCTGGGACAGGGCCAGCCCAAGAAAGGGACTTCCTGTCCACCCTTCTCCCAGGGGATGGAGCACTCAGGCGCAGGGCCAATCAGGAGCCCTGCGAGGGAGCAAGTCTGCAGGGGGGGGAGGAAAGTGCAAGTGCCTCTCTCTCTCTCCTTGTCTCTCTCTGCAAATGGCAAAGGAGGCTCCGGTGCCGCAGGGGATGGCTCAAAGAGCCGCATGCGGCTCCGGAGCCACGGGTTGCCGACCCGTGCCCTAGCCCTTTACTTAAACAGTATCAGGTTGGGCACGGCTGCTATAAAACCAAGTAAGTTTCACAGATTTAAAATCTATTTATACAAAGTAAAATTGAGAATATAACTGTTACAGTGATCAGATATAGTGAGAAATTTCCATTTCACCTGTGCCTCTTGTCATTTCCTTTCTACATCTGCATACATTTTCCCTAACAGCAGTTAAACTATACTGTATTGCCAGATCAATTTTTATTATTGTGCCACTAATCCTATCATGGTTTCATTAAGTCATTAATCACTAATAGACATGCTTGGACTCAGGAAGAGAGTATTATTTCTGTTTAGTTTAGTTCCTACTTTGTACTTTTGTTCCTACCTTTTTCAGCTCTCCTTTACTGCTGTATTTCAAAAGAGGCAGATATACTATCTAAATTCTGGTATAAAGCTGTTCATTCATCTATTACTATTTTATAATATATATTTTAAGTGCCAAATAATTTATATATTACATTTCATATAAAGAAGTGTTCTCAATATATTGAAAGATCATAGTTAACAGTTCAAAGATTAAAACTGTAAACCATATATTTAATTGAAAATATATGAAAGCACATAAAATATGAATACATTATTATATGATCCAAAATTTTACAATATTGATTTAAATAATGCATGCAATCTGTATAAAGAAAATTATACTGAATAATACAAAGTAAAGTACTATACCCGTACTTTTAAAATGTATTTTAAAGCTGCCAATGTCTATTATCAAGAAACATTTATAATCTAAAAATAAACGTTTACATTTTGTGGTTTTGTATGGAACATCTCTCATAGAATCACTAAACAGATGTCTGGGGGGAGGGGGGGTTATACAAAAAAACATAAAACATAATGAAACTTACTTAGTTTATGCTTTAATGAATTTGATATTGAGCTATGTATATTCTCCTCCAAATTTGTAGATTTATCTAAAAATAATACAGAATATAAAAAAATACAAAAAGGAAAAAAATTAGAAGAGTGCCAGATGCAATATTACCATGGATGTACTTCAGTGTAAATTAGTCTAAGCTTGGAAAAACTGTTCAGGTTCCCATTCAAAATTTGGAATATAATGTTTCAAATTACCTTGAGAATTTGAGTAATTGTCTTGCACCTTACTTTTTTTAAACCTCCTTGGACAAAAGAGGAACTTTAATTGTTGTAAGTGGATAAAATAATTTGGAGGCTTGGTGGAATGTAAAAAACACTTGTAAGTCATTGTTTTTAGTGCCATTGTAACTTTATACTATCACTAAACAAACAGTTGTTAGTTGAGGACTAGTTGTATTAAAAATGCCAGGAAAAATGCCTAGGAAACTATAGGCCTGTGGTGGTGAACCTATGACCCACTTGCCACAGGTGGCATGCAGAGCCCTCTCTGTGGGCAGGCGCGCCGTCGCCCAGTCCTAGGCCTTCAGCTGGGTTTTATAAAACCTTTTCACTTTAGGCCTCCGCCGCCGTGTGCAAAAAAAAAAAAAAATTCAATCAATTTTAACTTCTCATGGGAAAAAAAGATCCCGCAAAGTTGGAATTGATTGAACTTTTTAGTCCCACCCAGTCTGCCATTACTACCGCAGCCATGCCCACCCAATGGGCCACGCCCACCCAGCATCTGACAATACATAAGTGGGTTTTGGGATGCAGATTGGGCACTCAGTCTCCAAAAGGTTTGCCATCACTGCTATAGGCCAATAACATCTTTCCCACAATGTTTAAATTACTTTCAGGTATAAGAGCAGATAACTTCCAAGATTACTTCCAAGAAAATAACATCTTTCCAATAGAACAGAAAGAAAATGAAAGAAAAAGGAGAGATACAAAAGATCAAATCCTGATTGATAAAATGGTTTAAGAATTGCGTTAATAAACCATATTGTCTGAACTGATTATAAAAAGATGTTTGATTCATTACTGCATAATCACATAATCATCAAACATTTGAAAACAATGCGCTACAATAGCAATAAATCAGGGTAAAATCATGAATTGTGATGAACTGAAATACTGAATGGCCAAATCATTAGGAGCACTCCGGATAAAGTCTACAAGTATCTGAGCATTTTATGGTTGGATAACATTAAGCATGAACAAGTTAAAAATGTATTTAGTAAAGAATATATCTAAGAAGTAAGAAAAGTGATTAAGACAAAATTGAATTGTGAAAACCTAATTAAAGCCACCAATATCTGGCCCATATATGCTAGATAACAAATTGATTATAAATAATAACATAACACAGCCACCAAAATGATTCACTGGGATTTTTTTATAATTTTTATAAAAAATATTATGTGTCAGTAATAAAAGATCAGTGGGAACACAAAGTTGAAAAGATACTCAAAATGAGCAAGTTGAAATACTATGGGATTTCTGGACACAAACTAGCTCCTAACACACCAGATTTTAATGGTAATTGAAAAGAAGAAGAAAAAATGGACAACTAATATTGTAATAGCAGAGTAAAGTAGAATAAAAGACAAAGAACTGGAGATAACAAACTGTCAAGATCTGGAAATTGACATTAAAAACTACAGCATAAACCAACTGTGGTGATCCCAGCGATTATTGGCACAATGGATGTCATACCAAAAAAAAGCATTTAGAAAATACATCAACTGACTTACAAAATTTCAATTCAAAGGCCATCTACTGAGATTCACACATATACTATTTTGAAATCCTAGGTTCTTGGGTAGAACTTGATACATATGAAAACCAATATCAGCTAAAGAACTGGCAACTGTAATTTCACATATTTCTATATATTAATATGAATGCATATACTATAAAGCCAAAATTGACTGCAAAAGCCATTCCTGCAAAGGAGCTTAAGAAACAGTGGACTTCTTAGTTTGCTGCTGCAAGAAGATTGCACCAACTGACTACAAGAAATGACATCACAAAGTAGTAATAATGGAGCACTGGAAGATCTGCAAGAAATACCATTTGCCTGCAAGTTTCTATGGAGATTCTCACTCATCCAAGTCATATCAACGTATCAACTCTGAACAGATACATCACATTCACACGGAAAGATGTTAAAGAAAATAGTCTAGACTTCTTGGACTTTGCAACACCCATTAAGGAAGTCAGAAGCCTTAACATTAAAGTTTACAGAAAACCCCCCCACAGAGATCAATGTTTACATTTTGATTCTCACCATCCACTGGAACACAAAATGGGAGTTATCACTCCACTAAGCTGCAGGCCTGCCAGCCAGCAAACATAAGAAAAAGAATTAAAACACTCAAGGAACCCCTCAGAACATGTGGCTATCCCAACTGGGCCTTCATCAAATCCCCAAAAAATCCCAGCAGGAGCTCCTCCATAATAGAAGAAAACAATAAATGAAACAATGTTGTCATTCCATTGCAGGAATGGAATGTCATTGCAGGAATATCTAAAAAGCTCAGGAGGATCTTCAACCAACACAACATACATGCACAATTTAAACCCAAGTATACATTAAGGCAGAAGCTTGTCCACCACAAGACTAAAACACCCAGACACAAACTGAGCAATGAAATAAGACATGTGCAGATCTGTAAATTGGGGAAACAAAACAACCACTTCATAAATAAATGGTACAATATAGGAGAACAAATTCATCAGGACAAGATTCAGCAGTCCATCTACATTTAAAAGACATTTTTTTGAAGACAGCCAAGTCCACATTTTGGACACAGCTGGTTTGAAAGAAGGGTCAAAGAGGCCATCTATGTCAAAATTGAACAGCTCTCTCTTAACAGAGAGGGACAGATACAACATAATTTATCTCCAGTTCACAGTAAGTCTTTTCAGCAGTTCCAAGAAGATTCCACACCCATTTGCACCATTCAGGTGACCTTGAGGACACAGATAAACCAAGTGGCCCCAACAACTCTCTAAAAGAAGCAAATAATCAGTTGTCTGCAAGGAATATAAATCCTTTGATTCCCCACCATCCAGTAGAGAAGCTTCTTGGATGAGAAGCAAAACGTCTTCAAAGAAAAACAAGGAAGTCCAGTTGCCTCTTGAAAAGGCACCTATGGGACAACCATGACCTGGATGACTGAAAATCTCCATAGACAAGGAAAAGACCATATTTGCTTGGTCTACATATTGTTGAAAGAAAAATCTTCATCAGGGTCCAGTCCAAGCTGGGAATAATCAACCTGGAAACTGCTTTAGAAAGAAGGTTGTAGTTTATTGAAGAGGAGAGCCAGACAGAAAGATGGCTCTGGAAAAATTGTAGTAGGGAATGGTTTTTTATACCTTCTTAGGCTTTTGTTTGGAGTTGTTGCTGTGGCATGAACTTTGACTGAGTCTACCCTGGGGCTGTGGCTGATGACTGTGGGATTTTTTGGTATGAGGGATTGTTGATTCTAGGGATCTTTCTTTCTAATCCCAGCTTCCGGACTCAAATCTTTCTGACAAGATTATTGCATCTGCATTTCTGCAGTCCTGGTTTCTGTTTGGGGCAGAGAAACTTGGGGTGAGGGGTTTCTGCTTTAAGATCCTTTGGGAAAATATAATATTCTGCCTTTTAATATTCCCAAAAATATTTCTTTCTGGATGGGGGGGGCTGATTTCCCACAATATAATAGTAAGCTATAATGCACAGATCACACCCCATATGAAACCACACAATGTCTTAACAATTTGGGTGAACCACAGTAGTATCCAAACCTACACAGAAAAAGAAGCAGAACATAAATATTAACTTTGACAAATTACCTGAATCAGAATCATCCATATTAAATGGATTCCATTCTCCTCCAAACATTTCATTACTACAAAGCAGGCCACTGAAATAAAAAAATGTTTAGATCAGATTAAATTATTATATTAATAAATTATACCATCTGATATAGCCATAAATCAGGGGACATAACATCTCCAAGTATAATATTCTACATTTATGGAATTGATAAATGTTTATCTTCCCAAGCTGTTTTTCTTTTAAAAGGACAAACACAAAAGTAAAGTCCAAAAATGGTATCAGAGAGCCTATGTCCTAAGAGGACAGTGCAATGCTGAACTTAGTTCTCTGACATCACTTCATGGCTTTCCCCCCCAAATTACTCCAGAATGTTCTGTGTTATTCTAAACCAGTGTTTTTCAAACTTAGTAACTCTAAGATGTGGGATTTCAACTCTACAAATTCCACAACTAGCATGAAGCAATTTAATTAGAGGAAAGCTTTATCAGTATTATTATGTGGCACATTCACAATTTTTTCATCCTAGGTTATTGAATATGGTTGTGTTACTATGAATCAGACACTGGGCATAATATTCAGAAACAAATACTTTCCATAGAAGTATTTGTTTCTGAATATTATGCAGAAACATATTTACTGTACAAATATTTTAAATTCAGTCTGAATAAAATAGCTTCTTCAATCAAACATATCAGGGAGGGAGGGAGGGAGGGAGGGAGGAAAGCCAAACTGAAAACATTTCAAAAAATTATCTGATGTCATTCATATTTTCATGATGCACAAGATCTGAAAAAAATTAAAAATATTAACAGTTGAATTTGTAAGATTATTATAATTATTAAATGTAAGGGGTTACATGCAAAGGCAACTGATGTTATTATCAATTTACTAGATGTCACTACTCAACTGGATTTGTGGCATATGGATTTAGCTTAAATTCATTATCATCCAAAACTGGTCATATATTTTATAGTTAGAAGAAATGAGAGCAATTTTGTCAGCTTGGGTCTTCAATATCCTGGCTCATACCCTACCTATGAATTAAAGCCAACCAATATTTAGCTACAGACCAGCTGCCCTATTATATATGTTTAACAGCTAAAATATTTGGTAAACAAGTCATTCTAGAAAGAATTCTATGATAGCCCTACATATCAAACATTTTTTCAAATATTTTTTTAAGAATTATAAATAAAAAGAATAAGACCATTCATGGATTCTTTTAGGCATACCCAAGTCAGTGGGCTTCAAAACCTAGGCAACATACACACAAGCTGTTGTGATTCCTTGCCTGCCAGCAGATCCAGCAGCCGAATCCAAGGAATCAGATGATGAGGAGGAGGTGCCTGGGTTCGCATTGGAGTCTGCAGAAGGCTCTGAGGAGCAAGAAGACTCAGAGCCAGACATCGAGCTGGCCCATCTATTCACGCTCAGGCAAAGACGCAGCTGTTTTGGGGGCCTGAACTAAATGACGAGGAGGAACAACTGGAGCCAGTCCTGGATGCACAGATGTGCAGAGAGAAGAGGTGAGCAAGACAACCGAAGGCGGTGGGGTAGCTCCATAGGCAAAGTAAGAGTCACTAAGAAGCCATGCCCTGGCTAGACTATAAGAGGAGAGGTATGGGAGGTGCTGGTTGCTGAAGGCAACCTTTCATGCTACAGCTTCAAGCTTCTGTTTTTGGATTTCTTGCCTTAGGATCTTGTTTGTCAGCATTCCAGCTGAGAACTCAGAGAGTGATCTTGTTCGTTTCAACAGCTATTTTGTTCCATAAAAGCCGTGTCAAAATAAAAGGAGTTTTTTCTTACAAAGTCCTGCCTTGTTCAATGAAAAGGAGTTTTTCTTGCAAGTAAGCGGTTGAGCAGTACTCGTGTAGGCTGGGACAGAACACAAGCACTCCAAGGCTAGTATCACTGCTCATTACTCCATTCTTTCCTACTTTTACTTATACGTCCTATTATTCCTCCAACTACTATTCCTTGTGAGACCTACTGCTACAACACAGTATTTTTTTTCTATCTGCTTTAGTCTGCTTCAGGAAATTTCAGTACCTTTACGGCAGCAACCAAGTTGATTAGGGGACTGGATGCTAAAACATACAAAGAACTATTGCAGGAATTGGGTATGTCTAGTATAATGAAAAGAAGGACTAAGGGTGATAGGATAGCTGTGTTCCAATAATCTAAGGCAGACATGTCAAACTCGCGATATCACGTGATGTCACACAACATATCGGGACAGTTTTACCATTACCGGCAATGGGGTGGGCGCAGTTTCCGCATGATGCGTCCGGCCCGTGGGCAGACAGTTTGACACCCCTGATCTAAGGCACTGTCACAAAGAAGAAGGTGTCAACCTATTCTCCAAAGCACCAGAAGGCAGGACAAGAAGCAATGGATAGAAACTAATCAAGGAGAGAAGCAACTTAGAACTAAGGAGAAATTTTCTGACAATTAAAACAATTAATCAATAGAACGACTTGTGGGTGCTCCAATACTGGAGGTTTTTAGGAAGAGATTAGATAACCATGTCTGAAATGGTAAAGGACAGGGCTCTCCAACCCCCAGTCTGTGGACTGGTAGTGGGCCTCAGCATGCCAGCAACTGGTCCACACAAACAAGCAAAGCCCCATCCATGGGATGCAGGCAGCACATAAAACCATGCACTTTCTGGTCCGTGGAAAAATCTTTCTCCACGGAACTGGTCCCTGGTGCCCAAAAGGTTGGGGACCTCTGGTATAGGGTTTCCTGCTTGAGCAGGGGATTGGACTAGAAGACTTCCAAGGTCTCTTCCAACTCTATTATTCTGTTATTTTTTTAACGTATCAACACTATCCCATCAAGCTGCCTCTCTGCTTAGTTTTCATAGTCAACAGCTGCTGTGCAGGCTAGGAAGACATGACAACAGCAATACAGATGCTGGCCATTTTATAGGCAGTCTGTCCTCACAAAGATCAATACAAATTACAAAAATATAAATTATCAATCGAAAAAAGTATGAAAAAGAAAAGAAAAAGAAAACAAATTCTCCCATCATCCTAATAAGTAAGGATACTTTTAATAGATTATCACTATCTCTAAATACATCATAATGTCTCTTCTCCCCATACCTCAGTTCATACATATAAAAAAGATAAAATCCAAATACTTCATCAATCATTCTTTCTTAGCAAAAAAACAGCAAAGACATTATTCATTCAGCCCCATTCAACCTAACCTTGTATTCCTTTCCTGGTTTTTAAAAATATTCTTTAATAGTTTTCAAGGACTACTGAATACCGGAGAGACTAAAGTAGCTTACAAGAAAGACCAAAAGAAGAACAGAATGGAGGTATTGGAAGACAAAAAATTATATGGCCAGCACACTAACAAAAATAGTGGGAAAAGAAATAATAACAAGACCTGGCTATGGCTAAGAGCAGGAAAGTTGAACAGAGACAGAGAGACTAATTCTGGCTACACGACCAAGCCTTAAGGACAAATGCATACAAAGCCAGAATTTAGAAGCCCACAATAGAATAAGTGCTGCCTATGCAAAGAAGCTATGACAACCTGATGCCGCTAGTTCGATGCAGCCTTCTTTCCTCCACCCTCGGTCAACTCACTGCAATTTCTTCACAAGACATCTCAACACTGGAAATTTGCTGCGGGGATATCTTGCTGTGTGTACCGGATGGAGAGCAGGGCAAGCAGGTGAGTGGACTATCAGAGGAGGGTGGCGAGGGCCAGGATGCTGGATGGAGAACTGGGCAGGTTGGCGAGCGAGCGGAATGTCAGAGGGCAGTGGTGGTAGGTTGGCTCGGCCTGAAAACCAAACTGGCAGTTTGGCTGCAGTGGGGAATGGAGAAGGCAGGGAAGCAGCGACAGGTAGGGGCTTCCTATTTTGACACCACCGCTATTGCATCCTCGCCTTGGGCTGTGCCAGATGGGAAGCAAGTGAGCAGGCTGACAGAGGGCAGAGTGTCCCATTTTTGACCCCCTCACTACCACCATTGCCTCTGGGCCTTGGCTTCAGATTGAATGTTGAATGGGCAGTTCAGTTGCAGTAGTGTGCAGGGCAGGTTTCTCTTAAAGCACTGCACCATAACTGTCCAAGGTTTTTTTTTTTTGCACAATTGTTTTTTTAAAGTGCCGCAGGTCTGCATTTCTTTTAAAGCCTCACTGCCACTGTTTTGCAATTTTTTTTTCCTTGTAGAGTGGTGGCAGCATTTAAAATGCAGAGCCAGGGCACTTAAAAAAAGATGTGCAAAAATTTGCAAAGTTGCAGTGGCTGCCCTTTAAAAGAAATTTACTCTGCATACCACCACAGCTGAACTGCCATTTGCCATTCGGTCTGGAGCCAAGGCCAAAGGCAATGTCAGTAGTGTGGGGGTGAAAATTGAAAGTGCCCTGCCCAGTGACACCGCCACTTTGCCTTCTGTTAACCTGCTCCCTCGCTTTCCATCTGGCACAGCCCAAGGTGCGGAGGCAAACTAGGAAGCCCCCACCTGCTGCTGCATCTCTGCCCTCCGCTCCATCTCTCACTGCAACCAAAACTACCGGTTTGGTGTTTGGGCCAAGCCAACCTACCGCCACCACCCTGACACCCTGTTTGCTCACCCATCCACCTGGCTTTCTATCCAGCGCCCTGCCCCTTGACACCGTCCTCTGACACCCCCACTCACTCACCCAGGTCTCCATCCGGTGCCTGCAGCAAGTTATCCCCACAGCAAATTTCCATCCTGCGAAGAAATGGCAGTAGCAAGAAGGCCATCCCCAGCTGGCTATGTCAAGCTAGTATTGTCTAGTTGTACTATTCTGACTTGCCACATAAGATCCCATACTTAATAGCTGTCAATAAGAAAGGCAAAAATATCTGGATAGAGCATGTGATAGTAATTGGAGACAGCAGAACAGTAGAGAAGGAACTGGAGAAGGTAATAATACAACGACCTGCAAATATAAATAGAATGACCCTGGCAAAAGAAAGCAAAGGTAGTACCAATAGTTGTAGACTCCTTGGGTGCAATCCCAACAACTGGAGCACCACTTCAATACTATCAGCACTAACAAATTCACCACCAGTCAGTTGCAAAAGGCAGCTTTACT